CAAACGATTTAAACCGGTTCTTATTTTGAAAAAGAAATAAAACCGGTTATTGAAAATAAAACCGGTTCCAACCTCTATTTGCTAAAACCAATTGCGTTTTAAATGATTGGCATGTTACATAAATCAGTTCCAGATTTTTCAAATTTTATGTATGATGTTAAATTATGCTAAATTTCCAAAAAAAATACATAACTAAGAACTTGTAAATCATTACCGTATTCTTGTAAATATGCAATTTTAAATTTATTATAAATGGATTTATATGTTGTTGAAGTTGGAAGATAAATAAATGTTTTTGAATCAGTCTGATGTCTTAAAGAAAATGATAATCCATAAATTTGTGCATAATCATAGATAAATGTTTTGATAATATCTTTTAATTTAGGTGTAATTGTAACTTTTGATAATAAATGTGGTGTACATCCTGTATTTCCATGAATTCGTTAAGTAAGTCCATTTTTTTGAAAATCTTGTTGCAAAGTTTCAAAATAATATTTTGTAATTCCAACCATTTTTAAGTAAGTATTTAACCAAATATTAAAAGATTGATTATAAGAATATCGATAATTCCAATGTATTTTTTTAAAGTTATCATCATCTGAAATATTAGAAATTTGTTTTTCATTACAAACAAATGCCATTAACTGGCCTTTAATAGTAAAATCTAATTGTTGTTTATTTAATTTATTAAATTCGATATGTCTTATAAAAAATTGCTTAAAGCCATTTTTTCATAGCAAGTACACATATCTTTACTATTTTTAGACTTTTTATAATTACATTAACTGTTATTAAAAATTGTTGAATTTCTTCAATTTTTTTCATTATATTTTCATGTTCAACATATTCCTCTAAATCCAAAGCAAATAAATCATAAGAAGTTGAAGACATTATGTTTAAGAAATATAAAAAATAAAGATAAAATTAAAATTTCAAATAAAATCTTTCCTATATGATTAAAAAATTAATATTAATATTTAAAAATTTGGAAAAAAATGGCATAAAAAATTTATGTATATTATTCTATATTAGTGATTAATTATTTAGTGTAATATTATTTTAGACAGTGATGGCCAGTGATTAAGGTTGCTTGTCTAAACTCATTTTAGATTTGGCAAAACGGTAAAACCTTTAGTTTTGCTAAATTTTTACTAAGTGTTTAATATAGTTTCACCATTTTTATAAGCTTTAATATAGTTTTACCTTTTTCCAAATTTCGCAAATTTTTTAATAAGGTTTTAATATAATTTAACCAAGTTTTACTTTTACCATTTAAACGTCTATCTAAACTCTTGATTTCGTCCAGCAACCTTACCAGTGACCCAAATGATCTGAAATGATTCAAATGACTAGTCACGAGTCATTTGGGTCATTTTGATACCAAATGACAAATGACACAGTCATTTTCTGAATCTATAATTTTTTCACATTTTATGTACAAATCAGGTAATTACATTATTCAATGATCCTTAATATATTTATTAAATGCGCATTTTTAACGAACTAAATCTAAAAATTTATAAAAAATTATAATTCAAATTTCTTTTTTATTTGTAATTTACTATTATAAATTAATTATTTATTATATTTTAATAAATTATAAATAAATTATAAATAAATAATATGAAAACTTAAATGATACAAGTTCAAACAATTTTTTATTAAAATGATATTATTACTGGTATTTCCAATCTAACTTAAATTAGTCAATACATTCACAAATTCAGGCAATTCAAATCTATTATTAAAAATGCTACTAAGATACCATTTTGCAAGTGGATCATCAGCAGGATGAATAGTACAATCTACAGCTATAAAAGCTAATAAATTTGCCTCATTACTATCTGAAAAATTTTCCTCACCAATCATACCCATCCAATTTTGAATTACACACACGTATTGTTCTGTTGAATCAATGGTATCATTATCACTGAATTTAAAAATTGGGTTCATAAAATTGTGTAAAGGATTCTTCTTCATCACCAATTGTTATATCATCAGCCATCTCATTATTATCATCTTCTTTCTCAGAAGTTTCAGAAATATCCGAAACATCAGAAATTTCATAAGGTTGTATAGGAATGGCTATATGATTTTGTTTATAAATTTTTTCTGATTTTTTAACTTCAAATTTTTTTCTTTTACGCAAAATATCACTTTTTGATTGACTCATTCCAAGCACTTTTTTATGCTTTTAAATTAAATTAAAATATTTAATAATATATCAAAAAAGTAATAAATCAATAGAAGTTTAAATTTTACTTACATAAAGTTTATTTCTTCTTTTGGAATGTAAAAATCCTATATTAGACCAGAGTCGCTTTACTAAGGCTGAATTAACAAAATTCCATATAAATAAAGTGAAAAACACGATAATTTAAGTGCTTGCCCTTTTGCTAAATCCCAAAAATCTATTATATTCCCACCAAGTTGATTAAAAGTTTGCATATCAAAAGGATAAACTTTTCGTTGATAAGAAAGGTATTCATGTAAAATATGTTGTGGTATTACACCAAACCAAACCTGATAATAATAATTAATCCCCTGGCCAAAATGAGTATAAAAAAGATTTAGAATATTATCATTAAAAAGTGAAAGATGATATTGTGAATATAAAACTAAAGATAAAAGTAATAGAGAATGTTTCTATTGATTTCAACAATTTTCAAGGCGAATAATCATTTGATTAGAAAATCCTGATTTTGATGACTAAAAAATACTTTAGTTAACCATCTAAAAGCAAGAATTATTTCATGTATTTGTGCTATATCTTTTTGTAATTTATTTAATGCTACATAAAGTGGTAAAATTAGATCTTGAAGTTCATACATATAGCTCCAAAAATTATGATCATTAATGATGGCAATTATATCTAAAGGAAGGAATTTTTTATCTGCATTTAGAATATGTCTTTGTCTCTTGTAACCACTTCGAGAGGTAGAAGGATCTTCAAGATGTTCAGATGCATATTTTGTAACTAAAGTCTAAAAGAATAAAATTAAATGAATATTTATTTATTAATCAATAAATTAAAGTATAAATTTACCTTAATCAGTTTTTAAAATACTGTGAAAACAGAAATAATAACTATTCTAATGCGTTTCACCTGAAGTTGCCAAAGCTATTGTTTTATCATATAATAATTCTTGCTCATTTCGTAATAGACCAGTAAAATAAGTTGATGAATGAAAATAACTAACAATTTTAACAGCTCTTGTTAAAGTTTGCTAATAAATATCTGATTCTTTAAAGATATTTCCTATAATTAAATTCATTTGGTAAGCCATACAAGGTAAAAATATCTTATTAGAATAATCTTTTCACATAATCCTTCTATTAAAATAAATAAATTAATTAAAAATTAATAAATAAAATTTAAAATAATAAAATTTATACATACCGTGCAGCAGCATATTCACCAGCTGAGTCAGATACAAAACAATTTATTTTAATATTATTTTTTTCAGCTTCAATCATTATACTTTTAATATGATCAATTATATTTTCAGTTTTTGATCTTATATCACTTATATCTTTTGCATCCCAAATGAGTGTTTCACCTGTTGATTTTATAAAAAACAACACCAAATAAATGCTCTTGTTTAACATTTGTACAACATCAAATGCTGCTGTTACTCCAATTTTATCATATTTTAGTTGATTTTGGTAAAATTCAGCTACTCATCCTTTTCTGACTTGGTAATTTTAAGGCTGGAGCAATAAATTCAAATACATCTTTTGTTTCTTGATTATCAAAAAAAGTAAAAGATAATCCATTTGAAACTAACATTCATAATAATAAGATTTTAAAATATGGCTTATCTTTTTTTGTTAAAGATCATGATAAATAACTTGTAATAGGTAATTGAGTAGTAGTGATTGGTTTTAGTAATTAAATTGAGGTTTCGTCATCATCACCATCATTTTCTTCATCACTTTCATCTTCATTTTCAGAATCTAAAAATTTATATCATAAAAAAAGAATATTGATATTTCTGTTAGAAATTAAAAAATTAAAAGAACTTAAAAGAAAAGTGTAATTTAAAACTATGAAATATTTAGTACCTTCAATTATGTTTATATTTTTCATGTCAATTTTTTTCTTTTTAATTTTTTTATTATCTTCTGATACACTTCTAGTTAGAATTTCTTTTCTTTCACTTTCTATTACTTGATTTTTAAAATTTGTACATTTTACAAGATGTCTGTGGCAAAGTTTTGCTTTATTTGAAACAAAGCAACCAACATTAACTAATATCACAGAAAATGAATATTCCTTTATACAAAAATTACAAACAGCTCGTTTATTAGCTATTTTTTTTAGCGGATTAATTAATATAAAGAATTCTCTAAAATTATGTGACTTTTTACCCATATTTATAATATTGAAATATTTGTTTTTGTCTTTGTCTTTCTTGTTTTTGTCTTTGACACGCTAAATGTTATAAACGTGACTTTAAAAAATTTATGTACAACATTTTATTTAAATGAAAAATCGTAATATATGTCTTTTAAAAGAAGAATAAATTTGTCCTTTATTATAAAAAAGGAAGAATATATGTATATTCCTTATTGCTAACGCTAACAGTTAATTTAAGAAGTTTAACAAAAAGTTAATTATGTAATACATAACTTTAAAGTTTGTAATGTGAGATGTATGACAATAATGACATTTACGCCTGATCTATTCCATATTATTTTTGGTATGCATGGCAGAATTTTTGCAGCTAATCCAGTACCAGTTAATAAAATTCAAATTTTTTTTAATAATATGGTATGGCCGATCGATTTTAATTATAATTTAACAAAATCACATGAAAAAAATTCTTTAAATTTTTTTTTAATGACAAATTTTTTAATAGAATGCGTTATATGAAAAAATTTTTTAGTATTTTTTATGCATTATATTAATTTAAACTCATCATAGATTACTAAAATATTAAATATATACTAAATCCTAAAATTGAATTAAAAAATTATTTTAAATGATCTAAATGACTTCAAATGATATAAATGACATTCAAATGACAATATCATGCAAGGTTATTTGTCATTTGTAAAATGACTTATTTTAAATGACCAAAATAACATGGTCATTCAAAAGTCATTCGAGGATCATTTTAAAATGGTCAAATGACCTAGTCATTTGTCATCACTAGATTATGAGGAGTGTAAATGTCTAAAAAATGCAGTGTTAGCAAATGACCTTGAAATGACCTTGAAATGACATCAAATGACCTCAAATGACATCACTTTTATTATTTATTTCAAGTCAAAATGACCAAGGTCATTTGAAAAAATAGTAAATGACCTTATAATTTGCCATCACTGAAAAAATGAGTATAAAGCTCTTAAGAATCACCTAGAGGGTAAATATAATAATACATATTAGATATGAACAGATGATATATTCCTTTAAATATCAGCTAGAAAATCAGCATAATTTATGGGTTGATGACTTAGAGCAGCAATACAAATCTCGCATCTCCATATTAGAAAAGTCATGATTAAGAAAGATAAAGAAATTGGTAAGTTATTTACTACTATTTCTTAAACTAAAAAGGATAAAAATGTTCTAAAAAAAGATCTCACTTCTATCAAAAAGACTATAAAGGAATTTCACTTTCTTTTAAAGGTGTAAATAATCTCTTATTTAAACTTTTAATATTTCTTTCTATTTCAGATAAAAAATAATTAAAACAATAAATACATTTTTCATTAAATAAAATACTTAAGCATACTTAATGAAAACTATGTCCACAAATTAAAATAATTCTATTAAATAAATCTACATTATTTGATAATAAACAATTATCTGTATTACAAAATTTATTATCAGCAGATCTTCTTTGAGTATTCCAACCTAAAGAAAACACTTTTATATCTACTTTTATATCAAAACTTGGAAGATAAAATTTTGGATATTTATCATTATCAATTTACTTTGTATTTCCTAAATTTTGATAAATCTTATTAAAAATTGATAATAGAAATAATGAAACATTTTTTTCTAAAGATTTTAATTTATTAATTTGAGATTTTGCTGGATTTCTTAAATAAACAAATAAATCTTCAAAAGAAGAGTTATTATTTCTTTTAATATCAATAATTTTTGCTTTTTGAATAATTTGTGAATCTGAATTAGATTCTGCTGTTTGATATTTTAAAGAGCTATGAAAATTTCAACAAAATAATCATTAAAAATTGGTAAATTATTTTTTAAAACATTAATTATTAGATGTTATTTTGAAGTCCAATAAAACACATTACTTAAAAACAAAAGTGGTATTTTATTATAATTATGTCTTTTTAAGGTACACCTTTCTTACGAATGGGTCTGGCTTGGATCCAAACTGCACCAGTTTCTCTTTGCTTTCCTTTGCATCAGCACTTACTTCATCATTTTCATCCTCATCTGTTGCTGAACTCACTGCTATTTTCACGGCAATTTTGGTAGCTCCTCAACATTGCAAAATTAAAATTTTTACAGATTTCTTAGTGGTAATCTCACAATACAACAAATATAAAATGCTTTTGGATATCTCACCATCACGAAGACCATTTCTCAAAATTAGCAATGTACACATTTGAAATTGCTTCTTCAAAGTTATTGATACATGTTCATTATCAATTACAATGCACAAAATCAAAGCTCACTCTGGAGACACGTTCAATGAGAAAGTGGACGCATTGGCAAAGAATGCGCTTAATACACCTAACTCCTTCTGACCAATCACATCTATCACTTCACCTTCATCAAATGGCGATCGCTTCACCTATTAGACTTATGATCAAAGAAATCACACGATCTACTCATTTAGCTTCACTTCTAAATCTAGATATCAATCGTAAATATCTCAGTATGAATATAAACTGGGTTGCGACTGCATCCTACATCTCAGATAACACCGCCACTTCAACTACAACGTATGAAGCCTCTGAATTAAAAAAGAAAAAGATTCAAAGAATCTTGGAAATGCTTCCTTCAATGGCTGTTTTACAGCTACGACATCCTGTGATCTATGATCGTTTATGGTTATGTATTCGATGCAATACAGTTTGTGAAGACTTCAACCATATTTGGACTTGTACTTCAGTTCATCAAGACATGCTCGATATCATCAATCTGTTAAAATTATATCTTAAAAACATTACCCAACTTGATAATATCACTTCAATTGCGAATCATCTCGATATTTGGTCACTTTCATCAACCTCATCTTTCTCCTTCATTGATTTAATCAAAGGCATTGTTTCTACTAAACTATACTCATTCATCAATTCACAATTTACTTCGCAAGAATCCACAATAGCAGCAGTATCAGATTTCATACACTTCATATTCATTCATACTCATAAAATATGGATGGACCGATGTTCATTACTTAAAGATTTTGAAAAATCCCAGGACATCACGAATCTCATGAAAAGATCATATACAGTAGCTACCAATTATCAATTGCGGTCGTCTTTTGCTAACTTCTCATCTATAGACTTAATTACCAAGATGATGCGCTTAGGATCACATTGGACAAATTTTTGGTGCAGTAGGGACTAAGCCCTTTCCTTTCTCTGGTTGGTTTACTGAAAGGTGATGATGTGAATTTTCTTTTTATATTTGATTCTGGGAAAGTGCAGGGGCAGTTTTGATTTAGAATAGTTTCATGATTATTTTAGATAGAGATTTTCGTAATTTCTGTTTTATGTAATTTTTTATATTTTATATTATCAATAAAGATTTTGCGAAACTACCGCACTTTAAAAAAAAAAAAAAGTAATTTTTATGCTAATATCAATAGAAAATAACATATATGCATAACATTGCTTCTTTATATGCTTTCCAGCACTCACTAACCATTAAAGATCAAATTGCTCAGAAACGTAAACATCTAAAAGATGAATATGATAAAGGTCTAAGAAGTTAAATGTGAAAATTTAGTCATAAAAATTGAATCTCCAATGAGAAGGGGAACTAAGATTAGAATTAGACCAGTAATTATCGAGATTTGCATTAAAATCACCTAAAAGGATAGTTTTGAAGTCAGATTTTAAACCATCTTTGATGTATTTAATTAATTGTAGTGATACTTGATGAAATTACCCTTCTTAATATGACAAAATTGACGAAACTGAAATTACGAAACTAGTTTTTTATTAATGATGAAATTATTTACTTAATTGCCAAAATTATATTTAACTTGATCTAAATTCTTCAATTAAAATACATTAAAAATATAATAATTTTATATTTATTCATATAAAAATATTAAAGAGACGAAACTTTTGATGAAATTACAATTTTTCAAAAAAAGAGTTTAGTCAGGTATCACTAATTAATTGTATTACAGAAATATAATCTTTAGTTGAATGTAAATTACCTTCCAAGAGATTAATTAACTTTGTATTTTGCATATTCCTATTATTTTTTCGTTCAGCAATCCATATATCATAACTATATACAAGCAACTGTTTAGTACGTTCTTCATAAGTTTTATGTAATTCAAATAAATTTGTAAAATTTCTCTTTCATTTATGATAAGTAATGTTTAAATCTTTCAAAATTGTAAATCAAGTTTAATAATTATATTACTAGAATCAATTCCTTTTAGATTTTGAAATGTATTATTGATAATATTAAGAATAGAGAAAACTTGTAAAGATGATTTTATGAGAATTATTATAAAATGTAAAGTGCTACTTGTGGTAATAGTATATGGTTGTCATAAAGTATAGATGTTATGGTAATCATCAATGTTAAGAATAATTAAATAATCTTTCTATTAAACTATAAAAAAATATATATAAAATAAATAAATATTTTTTTTATTAAAACATAAAAAAGTATAAAAGAATAAAATAAATACATTATTAATTATATAATCTTTGATTGTTTGTTAATGTAAATTAGCTAGCCAAATTTTTTGTTTATTAATGGTTTTTTTTCTAACTGTAAGTTCAGCATTTGTCAAAGTTTCAATTGCTGATGTTGAAGTTCCTAATGCATTCAGCAAAAATCCTATATCCTCTTTTATGTCACTAATAAATTTATTATTAAATCCAGCTAAAAGATAACACATTATAATAAGTTTCTTTTTGTTTTATTAATTTGTCATGAAATTTTTCTTTTGGGAATTTGTACTAGCAACAAACTCATCAAAAAATCCCTGTAATTTTAATTCTTCCCTTTCTAACATTTTTTAAATTCATCTGGATCATAAATTAGCTTTTTACCAGCTTTGTGTTACCTTTTATATAAAACATTTAACATTAAATGATTTTTTTTACAGGATATTGAAGCTAAAAAATTTTTATTAAAATCAGAATAAGTGAATTATGGATATGATAATTTTCTATTATATTAATAAAATCAATTACTAAAAATTGAATCTAAAAAATTTTTATTGAACATAAAATAAAAAAATTAAAATATAAATTATTTTTGCTACATACTTAATTTAATCTGCTTAAGTTTTCACGAGCTTCATGATATAAAATTCCTAATTCATTATATTCTTTAGCTAAGTATAAATGATTATTACAAAGGACATATGAATGATCAAAACTGATAGTTAGTGCTCTTTGCGATGATGGTTGATAATTTAAAGATTTTTGATTCTTTTTGTCACGATCTACAACAATAAGACATGTATTGCAAATAAGTATATCCAAAGGAAGATCTAAAACAGGTTGGAGTTGTTTTGAATTTTTTACAAAAACATTCTTTTGCGATCATTCTACTTTATTTTCTTTTGTAAATTCTTTATACTTAGGATAAGCACATTATTGTTTCTTTACAAATTTTATTAACTGATGATTCTTATTCACTATTAATTTATTATAGTGATGTTGGCATAACTCTTTCCCAACCAAATTAATATTAAGGTTTATTTCTGAAATTTTAGTATTATTCGTTATGAGGGCTGTGCTATTAATAAAATTATCACAAGTACTATCTTATAATAAGCATTTATTAGATTTAGACATTCCTATATATTGTATTACAAAGCATTTAATAACTTAATATATTATATGCAATATAAACAAAAACATAAAATTTAATGCATATATCTTTCAAATTATCATTAAATAATTTTATTAAAAGTTTACTATAAAGCTAAAAAAAATTCAAAGTATTTATTATTATTTTCATTTTGCAAGAAGGTTTAAAGTATTATAACTACTGAATTACCCTTTTCTTAGCCAAATTATTTTGTAAACCGTTTAAAATGATCATGAAGAATCAATATTTTTTTTTTCGCTATTAAATTTTCTGTCGTACAATTAAATTAAAATAATACAAATATCACATGTTTATATTTTTGCGAATCCAACCAATAAAAATATATTATTATGCATATTTATATATAAATAATAACAATATTTAAATTTTTAAACTGTGACATCATTAATTTATTTAATTAATTAATTTAATAATAATAATATTATTATTATAAAGTAAAAATCAATATATATGTCAATCATCATGTGATTATTCGAAAATCAGAAAGTCTGCTATGTTCACATAGTCAAATTAGTTAATATTATGCTTTAAAGATATACTCAAAAAATAAAAACAAGATATATTATAACTAAATTAGTAATATACAGAGTGAATTGTAATAAAAAATCTTTATTATATTTTCTGAAAAAAATTTTTTCATCCTTTTTTTTAAAGAAATTTGCTTCCAGTGTATTTATTTATTTTAACTAGAAGTTACAATATGCAGGGGACTTCGTCCCCCATTAAGCGTCAGATTAAATATTTTATATTTATATAAATAAATTTATATTATAATCAATAATATTCGTATCTATATCTACATAAATATTTTGTTGTATTT